AGGAGGAGGAGGAGGAGGCGGCGGCGGCGGCGGCGGCGGCGCCAAGGTCGACTTGTGCGCCTGCATCGCCGCTGTTCGCCAAACGTTGAAGCTGCGGCGTGGAGGGCGTGTGTGAGGAGCGCGCCTGCGCCGAGGGTAGGATGGGCGCCACGGTTTCTGTTTCTCCCTCGCCCGGGGTGGCGGTAGCTGGGTATGGCATGGGTGCGTATGGCTGCTGGTGCGCCTCCTCGATTGTCACCGTGTGTGCGTGCGGTGCGAGCTGTGACCTCCTCAGCTAGTGGTGAGGATAGATGGCTGGGAGCGGTCAAGTATGTCGAGGTGGGAGGAAGAGGGTGTCAAATGATGCGGACCAGCGTTCCCGCAGGAAAAAGAAGAAGAAAAATCCGGCTGGAAAGGTGCGCAGCTGCACCGCGTTCTGCAACTGCATTTTTGTCTTTCCAACCTAATTCGGCCCAATTTTTCTGGGCATTCCTGCGGGCGCGGCGCAGAGTTGGCCGCCGCAATTGGACGTGGAGGTTGAGCTCAGCTTGTGGGGCCAGTCATGATTACCAAGCAACACCCTAGCGTGGGTGGGCGTCGGCAATCTCTCACCTCGCCTAGGTGCGCTGAGTCTGGACCGCCAGCCGGGCTTGTTTGTTTGGGTCGGCGGCGGCGGTGGCAGCATGGACTCGCCGGTCTCGCTTGCGTCAGCTGGCTGTGCCGTCTGACTCTGGTTTACTCGGAGGCAGGCAACATGAACCACATGGAGGGAGAGGGAGAGCATGATTGAGGGTGGAGAAGGAGGACCCCTGATTGCGGGTGGCAGTGAGCTGTCGAGATGTCGAGATGCCGCACCGACAGCGGAGTCTAGGCGGGTTGCAGTCCAAAGGCACAGCAGGGCTACGTATTCGGGCAGCAGCGTGCAGCGTGCAGCGGCGTCGGCGGCGCGAGTTTTTGAGGCTGGCTAATGTTAGCACGCGCTCCTTCTCCGCCCAACCACACCCCTGACCCCTTTTTTTTTGGTTTGGGTGGTTCATCATGAGATCTTGTTGCCCTTTGCTCATTGCACAGAGACGCGTCGATACAGAGAGATAAGAGAGAGCCTCTGGTGGGAAAGGGCGCGGTTACGGCCATGTCGGGCTTTCCGGGAAGGGCGTAGGTCAGCGCGGCGGAGAGTCGAGGGCAGGCGACGGCAGGCACTGCACTGTTAAGCTTGGGCTGTGCTGCGACCGTGCGTTGCTCTGCGTTGCTCTGCGTTGCTCTGCGTTGCGAGCGCCTCGCGATCTTTGCAGCGGGGCGCGTGCTTTGAGAGCACCACCGCGGGCACTCGCGGGCCGATCGAAAATGGCCAAAAAATGCACAACGGCTCGCTCCCTTGGGTGCCTGTCAGTTTTGAATGGCCAAAATCGAGCCATTTTCCAGGCGACTCCGACCGACGGGGGCGTGGGCGCGCCGTGAGTGAGAGAGAGCTTGTGCAGCAGCAGCAGTCGGTGGTGGGTCCAACCCAACGCTCCGCTCCGCCAGCCTCTGCAGCACCGCAGCCGCGAGATGGGTTGTGTGTGTGTTCACCACCATCACCACCGCCATCCTGCCCCTCCTCCGACCTTTTCCTCCATCCAGCATCGCTTCGTCCGTCGTCGACTCGCACACCATAGACACGGTCGCACCCAACACCGCCAGTCGTCCTCGGCCAGCCCTCCCCTTGCGCCCCATGTCGCGCCCTCGCTGAGCTGCAACCGCCCTCTTGTCAAGCCCTGCACCCGCGCTACCGCAACCCGATTTTGTTCACGCACACTAACGAATCCTCTCACGAACATTCGCGCTGCAGTCTACACGGTTCGCCCCATGCCTCCGCATCTCTGAGCCTCGGGCTGCCCCTCTTTGCGTTCTCATCCACCGACGCAGCAACCCACAAGGCTTCGCTCCCGCCTGCCTCCATCTGCCCATCTAGCGCCCTAGCGCCATAGCGCCCAGCGCCAATCTCTGCATCATGCCCGCCGCGGGTGCTGCTCCAGGCGGCTCTCTCGACAAGAGGACCACTGCCTACGAGAACATCTTTGGCCGCCCTACCGCAAAACCAAAGGGCCCGCAGCCCAGTGCCTTTGGTCCGCCCCACCCCAACGCTGCTGCTGCTGCCGCCTTTCGAGCTCCTCCCAACTCCTTTGCCGTAAATCAACGATGGAACGGCGTACACCCAAACGCCTACCCAGCGGCTCCCTATCCGCAATCCATGTACGCCGACCCAACCCTGCCCATGCCTCCGCCCGCACCACCATCCACCACCGCTGCACCCGCCTACTACTCGGCAGGCTACAACCACCCACCTCCATCCGAGGCCGCCACCACCACCGCAACCTCCTACGACAGTCATGCCGACCGCGCCGCCTCCGATCCACGCGCATCCATGTCCGCCTACCCCCAATACAACGGCCTCGCAACCAGCGCAGCAGACGCCTATCGCCTGCCACCACACTCCAACACCCCCGCCAGCGCCTACGCAAGCCATTACCTCAACCAGCAATCCACCAACGCCTCCGCCTCGGCCTCGCAATCCGGCTACTCGAATCCCAACGCCATCTCCCCGCGCGCCCCCGNAAGCCATTACCTCAACCAGCAATCCACCAACGCCTCCGCCTCGGCCTCGCAATCCGGCTACTCGAATCCCAACGCCATCTCCCCGCGCGCCTCGGTCGTCTCCGACTCCTCCCGCACTGACGCCTCCGCTCCCGACCTCGCCTACAGCCTCGACAGACTCGCCCTCGACTCCACAGATAGGCCGCCACGCTTACCCAGCATCGAGAGCAGCGTCCCCATCGAACAGTCCAACTTCTGGTTCGGCGACCAAGACAACCGCACCCCCACCAGCCCCCTCTCCGTCGCAAGCCGCAGGCTCGGCAGCTTCGGCTCCCAGGGTCAAGCAGCCAACCTCGTCGCCACCCCCCTCAACGCAGCCTCACCGCGCATCGATGGCAATGGCCACCACGACACAAACGGCAACGGCACCGGCACCGGCAACGGCAACGGCATTGCCGCCAACGAAGCACAGCAGACCGCATCCCACGACCAGGAAGTCTACTCCAACGCCTTTTTCGAAAACTTGCTCGGCGCACGCTCGCCCGCTTCCTCCATCTACGGCGATGGCCGCCGCAGAGGTTCCACGGAGTCCGACCGACAGTCCATCGCCAACTCCATCTACGCCCTTCCGGCCGCACAGAACACCTCTCGCGCATTCTACGGCTCCACCACCACGCTGCCCCAGAACGCAAGTGGCTTCTTCGTCGCAGGCTCCGCCATGACCCCATACAACATGTCCGTCGCCGCCGCATCCGGCATCGCGCCCGGCCCAAGCTGGGATCGTCCACCACGCACGCGCACCGCCTCCTCGGCCACGCAGGCTGCACAGGCCGCCTACGCGCCCGGCTTTGCAAACTCGGCCGCTTCGCGCTGGGAAGAGCCGAGCGAGGCCACCACCATCGGCAGAGGTGACTATCGCTCGCTATCCTTCGGCCAGTCCACCGGCAGAGCCTCCTTCGCCGCTCCCGTATCGCCTCAAGGCAGCATCGCCGGCGGCCCCTCCCAGCTCTTGCCCTCCAATCGCAGGGGCCCTCTCGTCTACCCTGCCCTGCTCTCCAAGGTCGCAGAAACCTTCCGCGCACGCGTCGTCCTCTCCGAGCGCACAAAGGACGGCCTCACCTACAGCGACGCCTTTGACGGTCGCGAAGCCGTAGACAAGATCGCCTACATCATCAAGACCACCGATCGCAACCTCGCCCTGCTCCTCGGCAGAGCACTCGACGCACAAAAGTTCTTCCACGACGTCACCTACGACCATCGCCTCCGCGACTCGGCCTCCGAGATTTACCAGTTCAAGGTCCGAGTGCCCAGCTCGGGCTTCGGCGTCGATGGCGGCTTTGACGACGACCGCAGATCTTCGGCTGTACCGGCACCCAGCCGCGGCAACTCGGCCAGCAGCTTCGGTCCCACCTCGTCCCTCTCGTCCATGACCTCGAGCAGGCAGCCCGCCTCCACCTCGCGCTCGCCTGCTGCCACCACACCCGCCACCTCGATCTACAATGGCGTGCACTCCGGCTCCGCGCTCCAAGAGGACGACGACGACGACGACGACGATGCCTTGCCCACCGGTGTCTTTACGCTGCTCACCGACTGCTACTCGCCCACGTGTTCACGCGATCGCCTCTGCTACAGCATCGCCTGTCCCCGCCGTCTCGAGCAGCAGGCGCGTCTCAACATGAAGCCACAGCCAGTGCTCCAGCGCAGCGTCAGCAGGGAGTCGCTCAACGACACCAAGGAACGCGGCGCCCTCTGGGCCGAGTCCGTCTCCAAAGAGGTCTTTGACAGCCTCTCGGATACAGAACGCAAGCGCCAGGAGGCCATCAACGAGGTCGTCTACACCGAGCGCGACTTTGTCGCCGACATGGAGTATCTCCGCGACCAGTGGATCAAGCCGCTGCGCACCTCGGACATCATCCCCGAAGACCATCGCGAAGACTTTGTCACGCAGGTCTTCTGGAACGTGCTCGAGATCCACGCGGTCAATGCCAAGCTCGCCGAGCTTCTCACCAAGCGCCAGAAGCAGAGCGACGTGGTCGACCGCATCGGCGACATCCTGCTCGAAATGGCGCCCCACTTCCAGCCTTTCGTCAAGTACGGCGCGCACCAGCTCTACGGCAAGTACGAGTTTGAAAAGGAAAAGTCCGCCAACCCGGCTTTTGCCAAGTTTGTCGACGAGACCGAACGCCTGCCCCAGTCGCGCAAGCTCGAACTCAACGGCTACCTCACCAAGCCCACCACCAGGTTGGCACGATACCCTCTCTTGCTCGAGCAGGTGGCCAAATATACCCCGGAAGACCACCCGGACAAGCAGACCATCCCCAAGGTCGTCAAGATCGTCCGCGAATTCCTCACAAAGGTCAACGTCGAGACGGGCAAGAGCGAGAACCGCTTCACGCTCGCACAGCTCGACCAGCAGCTCGTATTCAAGCAGGGCGAGGCCGTCGACCTGCGTCTGCGCGACGAGCAGCGAGAGCTCGTCTTCAAGGGCCCGCTCAAGAAGCGCGGCGGAACACAGAGCGAGAGCGCAGAGCTCCAGGTGTTCCTGTTTGACCACGCGCTGCTCATGGTCAAGCCAAAGATGGTCAACAAGCACGAGCTCTACAAGGTCTACCGCAAGCCCATCCCGCTCGAGCTCCTCATCGTCACCGTCTACGACGAGGTGCCCACGGGCAAGGGCAACTCCACCCGGCCCAAGTCGGTCATGTCGCGCACCTCCACCGGCACCCGCTACAGCGGCACGCCGGGCACGGCGCCCAAGCAGGATGCCAAGACCGGCTATGCGCTCACCTTTACCTACCTCGGCAAGAAGGGCTATTCCATGACGCTCTGGGCCAGCACGTTTGTCAGCCGCAAAAAGTGGTTCGAGAAGATCGAGTCGCGTCAGGAGATCCTGCGCCAGCGCAGCAACATCTTTGACACCATCACGCTCTCGGAGAACTTCTTCCTCGGTCCCAACCGCGTCAATTGCTCCGTGCCCTTCGACTTTGGGCGCAGGATCATCTACGGCACCGACGACGGCGTCTACCTGTCCGACCTGCGCGAAAAGGCGCGTCCGCCGACAAAGGTGCTTCCGCTCCCCGGCGTGACGCAGGTGGACGTGCTGGAGGAGTACCAGATCCTCATCGTGCTCGCCGAAAAGTCGGTGCACACCTTCACTCTGGACGCGCTCGATCCGTCGGATCCCATGGGCTCGCTCAAGCGCGGCCGCAGGATCTCGTCGCACACGTCCTTCTTCCGCGCAGGCATCTGCCTCGGACGCACGCTGGTCTGCGTGGTCAAGTCGAGCTCGCTCTCGTCGACCATCAAGACGCTCGAGCCGATCGAGCAGAACGTGCGTGGCAAAAAGCAGCCCACGTTCAAGAAGCTGCTGCAGGGCGGCCAGGACACGCTGCGCGTATTCAAGGAGTTCTACATCCCCACCGAGTCGAGCTCCATCCACTTTCTCAAGACCAAGCTCTGCGTCGGCTGCACCAAGGGCTTCGAGATCGTCGACCTCGAGACGCTCGACACGCAGGGGCTGCTCGACCCCGCCGACACCTCGCTCGACTTTGTGCATCGGCGCGAAAACGTCAAGCCGATCGCCATCTACCGCATCTCGGGCGAGTTCCTGCTGTGCTACGACGAGTTTGCCTTTTACGTCAACAAGAACGGCTGGCGCGCCAAGGGCAACTGGATCATTCACTGGGAGGGCAACCCCACTTCGTTCGCCTACCACCATCCGTACGTGCTCGCCTTTGAGCCGAGTTTCGTCGAGGTGCGCCACGTCGAGACGGGCGCGCTGCATCAGGTCATCACGGGCGTCAACCTGCGCTGCCTCTTTGCCGACGTGCCGCCGCCGACGCCGAGCATGCATCAGCAGACGGCGCAGGCGGTGGCGGCGATGCGCGCCAACTCGTTCAACGCCGCCATGATGGGTCCGTACGGCCGTCCGCCCATGGCGCTGCAGAATGGCATGGGACCGCCCATGGCGCCGTTCCCGGGCGCCAGGCCTGGATTCGCCCCGCCACCCAACGGTGCCATGGTGGCAGGCACACCTGGCATGCCCGGGTTCGGTGCGATGCGGCCGGGCGCGCCACCTATGCGACCGGGCGGCGCGCCATTCCCGGGCGCACCGGGGGCGATGGTTCATCCTGCAGCTCCGTTCCCACCGGCGCCGACGCCGCAAATGCCGTATGCGTTCGGACAGGCATCGACACCGCGGCCCCCGCCAGTGCAGCGCAATCCCGTGTGGGAGTCGGTGGCGGCAAGTCGCAACCAGATCGTCTTCATCGGCGACACCACCGTGTTCTGCGTCCGTCTGCATACGGATAAGGACTCGAGCAGCGGCTCGGTCTCGCCCTCGAGCTCGTCCATCAAGGGATGATGAGCGCGCGCACACACTCTCGCGAACAACGTATCCATTCGTATGAGTTCTTTCTCTGTACATCACGCAATGCAATGTCTTGTATCTCTCCCGTCTGTCCTTGTCGCTCTCTTCAGTCTGTCCTTGTCGCCTGTCTTTGTCGCTCTGACGTGGTGGGGTGGTCGTTTGAGAGGTCCATTCGGTCAGTATCTCGTCTTTCTGTTCATCACGCAATGCACAATGCAATGTTGTGCATCTGTCCCGTTCGGTTTCACTGTGGAGCTCGTCCGTCAAGAGTGGTTGCGCGAGCGCATGCGCAAGCAAGCTGAGGCGGCCCGTAGCCAAGAGCACCGCGTCAGACTTGGAGATGCTTGCGTCCAGCTCGACCGAGGCGTGTCAGCTTAAGCAGGCCATCCTCGCGAGCGTCAGCTCCCGTAACGGAGGTTTGAGAAGCCAGCTCAGCGCTCAACTGGCCTCGGTCAGGTCCATTCGTTTCTCCTTTACTGTGCATCACACACAATGCATGGCTTGTGCATCTTTGCCCTTGGCCTTTATCCCACCGAGCGCGACACGCTAGCAACCATGCAGCGGCTCGAACAGGGTGCGGTACATGCTTCTCCCAGACCGCCCATCCTGCTCACTGGCCGTCGCGAGGACCCGTCGATAGCTCATACTTCCGAACGCACGATAGAAGTACGCGATCTCATTCGACTCCGAGCACGTAACAGCCGGCTCATCTGTAGGCCGCCGCAGCCATGCTTGACATAGTCGCATGCCCCTCACATGGCCTCGATTTGAGCAATGGCGATTTGGACCTAATGTTAGACCTAAATTGTTCTGAGGGACAAGTTTTCGTACGTGTCTTGGTGCTGACTAATCCATTGAAATTGGGCAAAGTCGGATTGGGCCGGGCTTCTGGGGGGTCAGCGCCCAGCTTAGGGAGGTTCGAATTTCGGTTCCGCGCACGGGAGAGAGATCGTTCAGACGCCCCACCCACCGCCAACACTTGCGCGAAGAAGTGGCATCCATACGACTCTCTCCACCATCGATACCATCCATCTCTCCCGACAGCACATCCTAGCAACCATGCGCGCTTCTCAGGTCTCGTTCTCCGGAATGCCCACCGGCAAGAAATACGTAAGTCAGCAATCCCCTCCAACCATCCAAGAAGCATGCGCACAAGTGGTGATGCGGCCAACTGACGTTTGAATCAATCTCCCACATGTACTCTCTCCACCACCCTTCAAATTGATCGCCAAACTCGACCTACTCGCCAATATCGAAAACGATGTCGAAACCGATGTGACTCGGTAACGCATTGCATCGTATCGCTTTGACCGGCACGCATTGTCCGACTGCCGACGATCCTGGACCACGGACAAATGCGATTCGCGCATCCTCGACCCACGATTCCCACGCTGCTTGCACTGCATTGCGTTTGCGACAACAGATGGGCTGGTGGGGCGACATGGGTGGCCCTGCCCAGCGCGGCATCGTGCAGTACTCCGTCTCGCCGTTCCAGCAGAATGCGATGCGCGGCGCCCTGCACAGCTACATCTTTTACGGCTTCAAGCGCATCATGCAGCAGGCTCCCTACTTTGCCGTCCCCTTCGCCGCAGGTAAGCCTCTTTTCTAACATCTTCCGCTTGGATCTGGACCGCATGCTGATATGAATCTTCTCAAAGGTTACGGTCTGATCGCTTGGGCCAAGAGCAAGAACGCCTACTACAACTCCAAAGCCGGCCACGCCGAGCTTGCTCACGACGAGTAAAACGTAGCGTCCACCACCCCGGTTTCTAATACAGCTTGATTCGCAATAATCCTCGTACCGACAAGGTCCGTCAGATTGAGCAGGATACAAGCGTGTGCGAGCATGCAGTGCGGGGGTTCCGAGACGCAGAGCCCGTCTGGCCCTCTTCAGTGTTGGTGCAAGGATAGTGGCGCTTCAAGCCATCTTGTCACGATGGTGTACTGTAAAGCGAAGCCGTACACTGTGCGCCGGTGAGAAGAGACAGGCCGGCGACCAACGTCAGATGGGTGCACACGGGTACAGCCGAGCGTGCCAACACCGAGCGCCTCTGCACGCAGACGCCAAACGCTCTCGCTCCAACCCCTGTGAGCTTGTACCGAGCCCCGAACGAAGCGACTTGAGCCTCGGTGTGTCTTTGAGTGCAAGAACGTACGCTCCATGCCCGGTGTTGGCGATTCAGCCAATGCTTCGCCTCTCTCCAAAGGTACATATTGAACAATGATCTCCTTGCATCCTTATGGACGCTCCCAGTTAGTACAACGGTCAGTATACGGCACTTTCATCGCACCGCAAGGATTCGGGAGCTGCTGAGATCGGGGTTCGATTCCCCGGCC